ACTCATGCATTTTACATTCATGCATACATGAATAATATGATATTTACACGAAGCATGCACACATATAAAAATACCATATAGGCATGTATGCAAAATACCATATAGGCGTGTATGCCATGAGTCGCATCAAATACACATATTTATATATTGAAATATATGGAAATGTTGGATATTACACACTACGTGAATGATGTGAAATTTTATAATTGGATATGTCTTATTTGTGATGTTCTATGGAATTATAATGATGTGGGTCACCCTGAGGTGAGAGCACAGACATGGTGAGAACGCTGTCAGCGGGTCATAAGTGGGTGGAGTGGCCCCTCCCTATTCACTCTATGTTTCGGTAGGCATCGATGCTAAAGGAAAAAAGAAAAGAAAAAATAATAGTAAGGAAAGGGAAAGAAAAGAAAGGAGAATCAGATGGATTGGATCCGTCAAGCCCAAATTGGGGTGGGCTCCCTAAGTACACTTGACACAAGGATCATGGATTTATCTTTTCAGAAATTATTTTAAAGCATGCTTTGGGAGTGAGCATGATCCTTATTTATAATGGGTGATTCTACAGACTAATATCCATTATTTGAGTACTTGAACTGTTGTGACTTATGTGATAAGTGTGCATATATACTCGCTTGCTCAATCACAATTAGCCGGAGGGCTAGTGATTGTATAATATGATTATCATTTGTGTGAATGTGTGAGGTGAGAGGGCTATCTAACCCTACTCATTGAGTTTAACACTCACCCCTGCCTCTTTATTTTTCAGGTAAAATGAGGAAAACAAAACTCTAAAGATACAACTAAGTTGATATAAAGACGAAAGAAAAAGACTAATTTATAAATAATGCATGTAAATGTGGCGATTTTAATTTATAAAGTTCCGCAATTGTATTCCAAATGAGTTGTAATTGAATAACATGGATATATGTGTTAATTATATAAATCATATTTTTGATACGTCTGTGGACTATCAGATTGAGCTTTGAGTATGAGAATATAATAATTAGGCCTGAGGCCACGATTGTGAATAGAATATGCCTAGAGGCCACGATTGTAATAGAATATGAGCTTAACTGATTTAGGCTTACTACGCGGCCTAAGAGGTCTTAAGCCCACCTAAGCCTCCGGCTCTTTAGGAAAAACGGATCACGACTTTATTGAATACAGGTCTATATATTAAATTATTGATAAGAATATATATCTTAAGGATTTTAAATTCTTAATTGTGTTCGAAAAATAAAGATAATTTTATTGGTTAAAAAATAAAGATAATTTTAATTTTGATTGCTTATATTAATTTTCTATTTAAATCTAAATTCTATTAGATAAAATAAAATAATATATTACGATGTGGATTTCGGCGTACTTCATCTTTTCTAATACCTTGATATTCTTCTCCATGCTCAATATTTAAATCGGTACTCATGCGAGGAGTTTGAACCACATTTACAAATGGTTGTGGGGTAGGACAAGTCAAAATGAGTCTATTGTTCGAGTACTATCATCATCTCAAAGAAATCATTAAATGAGTCTCTAACATGAGATGTAAATCCATCACGTGTCCCGAAACACACCGCATAAGTATTGAAAGTAGGTATCGTATATTGAAATGGCATCGTCTCGCCTATTTTGGAGAAAAAAGTATGGGTTTGTTAGGTTACCATCATCGAAGTGTAATGAATGTCCAATGGTATTTTTAATGTTACGGATGGTACACTACATTCAGGTTGTGGTGCAAAAGGCTATTAGTGCAATAACCTTCGTAATAGTTATATATCATAGGGGAGGGACTTGAAGTATTTTGTCTACTGGCTAGACTTCAACTGGAATACGTCTAGATGTCATTTCACATCTCTTTCGACTCTGTAGTTTTTTTGGTGTTTGAACACAAGGAAACTCTATAGATGGAGGGGCGGCTTGAAGCGTAGGGTGAGTTTCATTATGAATTTCTTCATTCATTGCACCGAATAGGCTAAATAATCTTCGACGGAATGATGGATTACTACATGTTGGTGATGTTGAACTGTGATATATATTATCACATTCATTGCACCTAATCACAACATATGATCTTTGGACGGAATGATGGATTACTATATGTTTTGGGGTGATGTTGGAACTGTGATATCTATGTTGGAGCCCTCCTGATTGTATTATAAAAATAATTATGGAAATAAGAGCGCGAAAATCACTTATTATTCAGAGTGTGTATATTGAGAAATAATGAGAAGTAAGGAAGCGAGAAATATAGCGAATAATACCAACAACTCCCAATGTCTATACGCTCGAAAAGAATCCAACGGTCTAGTTCCTCACCCACATAGTCAAATTATATTGGCTGTGTTTAAGTGAAAAATAATATTTTGAGTGATAAATATTTTTTATTGGCACTTACTTATATTTTTGAAGTGTCTTATGGAAAACACTGTATGTTCGTAGATGCCTCAATGAAAACTTTTTGCACAATGGGTGTGATAACCATAAAATTTTCCAATTCATAGTGTTGATTGTACATGCGCCACCAGTTTAAAAATATTGACACTGTACTATCAACTAATCCGGTAGCTGAATGATGTAGAACACGTTTCGAAATCCTTCTTAGAGACTCTGAAGACACTAGGAGTTGTATGTTTGGTCAATTACATCTAACTTAATCACAGCATTGGAGTGAAAACTCAAAAATAAAAATTAACACCTTAAAACAATCATTTACTTACGTAATTGTTGAAAATCCTACAAATAACGCAGAAACCCCAATTTGATCAGTTAGGGCTAGAATCGATATATATTATTGAAAGCGAAGAGCACGCAAGAAACAAAAGAAGCATTAATTGAAGCTTGAAAGAAAAATATTGTTATCATTGGTTGTAGGCTGCTCTACAGCAACATCAACTATTCTATATTTTTAGGATTATCAGGCACTTGAACCTGATCATCACTTACAATATTATTATTTCTCTTTGTCCTCTCACCTGAACACGATCTGGCTCTTGTAAAGAGAGTCGGGAATAAAAGGTTTCCTCACACGAATAGTAGTAGGATTCAATTGTTTCTCTTTCTAACGGGTCCACTTTGTGGTTTGTAGCCGCCGTCGGAGACTTGTATTGTTACCATTGTTTCTTCTTTCCTTTCTCTGTAATTTGGCCTGCGTAGCAAGCTTAAATCTTGTTTTTTTTTTTTTTTTTTTTTTTTTTTTTTTTTTTTTTTTTTTTTTTTTTTTTTTTTTTTTTTTTTTATATGCAATACGAGTAAATCAAAAAGTTATTAGCTTTATAGAGTTCTAAAGCACTAATAAAACCTTAATCTGTGTTTATCAACGAATTCTATCTCTTTCGTATCTCTAACTTTCCCATGATTTTTGTAAATTTGAACAATAGAAGACAATGTTATTTTAGTAACTTTTATTTTCTAGGTTCCACTCAAAATGTCCAATTACAGTTGACAACTCAATATATTTTTTCAAGTTGGCAAAAATTCCAACTTGGTATGTTAGTTATCGGATTAGTTGTATTTCCGGCACGCTATGTAAGCCGCGGACACTTAAATTGAAAATTTTTAATAAGTTCTAATAAGTTTTAATGAGTTTAAACACTTGATTACAAAAATTTTCCGTTGAAACACTGAAATAGAACATTTTCTATAGTTCGGAGACTAAAATTATAATTAACCATTTTTTATTGAAACCACTAATTAGTCTTGTGGACTCTTAACAAAATACTTTTTTTTTCATGTACTTTTTACTGACTAACGGTCACATCCCATAGTTACACTAAAACCACCAAACGAATTGTGTGTTTTAGTAAAAAATCAAATTGATAATTTAAAATTTTCATTTTGTATTGAAACCAACAGTTGGTTTCATGGTCTTAATACAAAATAAAAATTTTTATTTATTTATTCATATAACTAATTTTTTCTGACTGTTTGTCAGTACGAGTTATTTTTTCTATTGCACTGAAATCACCAACTCAATTGGTTGTTTTAGTGCAACACACTCTCTCCATATCGGGACAAACATTAGATTGGAAAATAATTTTGAAATGACATTAGATTAGAAAATAGTTTTGTGGAAAGCAAAAAAAATTACAGTATCGATCAGAACACCACCCGATTAACTCTAACTATTTTCTTTTTACCTTTCATACCTTGCGACCTTATATGGTTTTATTTCCATTGGTCGGATTAGAATGGACCATTACAACCCTATATGAGTTTTATTTCCATTGATGCAATTGGAAATGTGGTTTTGACCATTTTTTTTAAATCGAACCGGACATCAAACTAACTTGATAATTGAATTCCAATTAGACTAGGTCAATTCGGTTCAAGGGATCTTTACTTTTTATTTTTTTTATCATAATTTATACAAAATTAACAAAATATAGTGCCTTATTTTGTTTTAATAATAATTATCAAAATTAACAAATATAGTTATAAAGTGAATTTTGTAGTGAAAATTACTCTGACATAAGATAGAGTGTATAAACGTTCTGTAACATCATAATCTATTTTCTGTAACATTCATAATCAAATATCAATTTATAACTATTAATTTTATGTTATTCATTATTCAAATCAAATATTATATATTCAATATATAATAAACATATCAAAATATAAGTTATAACAAATTTAAATGTTATAATTATAATAATTTTTAAACATTCATCATTCGCACAATGTTTTACAATATATTTTGATCTTTTTAGAATTAAATTATATTTTTTTTATTATTTTATTAAATAAAGAAATAATTAATTAACTATTGGTTATCTGATAATTATTCCTTTAAAATTGGGTACACCATATTAAAGTTGATTTTTCGGGAAAAATTTAGACTATTTATTTATAATTTTTAGATCTCTTATTTATGAGTCTTTTTAAGGAAATTGAAGTCAATGATTTGAGACAGAATTGTCATCCGAACTACCAGTAGTAAGAAGAGCAATTCCAGCAGCATTAGAGGCTGTGGCTATTTGCTTAGCTTTGCGGGTTTCCTAAAGGATAAGCCTTGAACGTGCCTCATAAAACGGAGGCAATAGATCACTTTGTTGAATGAAAGTAGCAACACCATCGTAATTCTCATTCAATCCTACAATTAACTGGAGAACTAACCTTTGATTTGAGACCGGTGCACCAACATTTGAAAGTTGATCAGCAAGCATCTTAAGTTCCTAACAATAAGCAGAAACGTTTGAAAAATCATCAAGATAAACATGAGTGAATTGATTTTCTAGATAAACAACACGAAAGTTTTTGTTATCCAGAAAAATATTTTTTCAAACGTTCTCATGCTCGGTGTGTAGTTGTATCCGGCTCTAGGATGGTATTAAGAAGATCATTAGAAATCGTGCCATAAATCCATTAAAGAACTATGGCGTCTAATCGTGACCATAACTCAGGATCGACTTCAGCTGCTTGTTCCTAGCCTTTTTCAGACGACTTTGGAGGAATGATATAGTTAATCACCTTGGGAATGATATAGTCAATCACCTTGTATGCACGACAATGGATTTTAAAAAGTTCAGCCCACGATGAATACTGTCCTTTTTCCATCTCAAGAGTAATGGGGATGAAATTTTTGACATTGTTGACAGCAAGGGCCGCGTGAAAATCAGTTTTGCTGGCCATCTAGGAAAAGAAGAGAAGAGAAAGAAGACAAATAGGGTTGGAAAAAAAAAAAAAATAGGCAGCAGAAAAAATTAGGGCTCTGATACCATGAAGGAAATCATCCATGTGATTTTCATTAACTTTGATTCCTTATATAATAATATGTAACCTTATAATCTCGGTAACTAACTACAGCTATACAATTGAGCTATTTTTGAGCTATTTAGAATATTGAATACAGGAGAAACATCAATCTATTTACTGATAGCGTTTAACATGCTGCATGGGCTATGCTAATTTCTCTCCCTTCCAAACAACAGTCATCACTGAGAATGAATAACTTACTCTATAAGTTTTGCACTTAATTGAGGCGCCTTGTATCACGCAATGCGCAACCAACGCAACTGCTCTGCTTTAGCAATATTAGAAAAAAGACCCCAATACTAAAAGCTCGGAGCATAATCCACTTGATTGTCCAAGCTTCAATATTTCTCTGCCTACAATACATCTCCACAGGAAAATATATTGTTAAAGGCCAAAAATTTAAGGCTCCTAACAATCCTATCACCTGGTTGAAGTAAGGAAAGATCATTGAAATCGCAGTTGTTGACATTGCGTATATTGTTCTGAAACACATCCTGAAGAGGTTTAATTTGAAAGCTGGCAACAACAGGAGTTTCAAGCTGAAATTCCTGTTGATAAATATGTTGTCTGGGTATCTCTCTGCAAACCATTTTTCAATCGTTGCAAATACTGGCTGAGTGTAAACCTGCCAAAGACAATAACAATGGCTGAACATATATAAAATAAGATTATTAGATTATATATATATATATATAATATAATATATATATATATATAGGAATACCTGATAGCCTCCTAACTAGATGAACGCCACTATGCCAAGCAATTGAGCGAAGTCAATAAGCCCAATAGGTTCATAAAAAACCCCAAATCCCTGTCAAAGAGATTTCCAAGGTGTATCTTCTCCCAAAGCTGCATATCCAAAACCTCCACAACACAGATAGAAAATGTTGTCACAGCCGATTGCTATGGTAGAGGCCTTCCTATTTGTCTCCATTCTACGGGGAGGTGATTGTCAAGTAATCCCCTTTTCAGTTTTCAAATTCAAATAATTGGTTCCCGCCGCCCCGGATTAACATGAGTAAATAAATACACTTAATTATCATAAACTAGCACTATTTTTTTACATAGAGAAACTCACCTGTATCGCAAAAAGAAATCTACACTGTGAAAATGATAATTGCAAACGCAATATCCCCGAGCCGCGTGAAGATATCCTTCCTAAATTTAAGGCCAATCACCTATTAGTGCATATACGTACAATGCTACCCTTAACAATATCCACTGTTCGTCTCTGTCTATTTACATAGAGAAAATGAAATTTCTTCAATATTAGTGATATTGACTTGATGATAACCTATATATTAAAAATTTAGAATTAATTGTTAAGATTAGGTTAAACTTCTGTACTCTGATATAACATTTCAAAGTCCATATGGTGCTAAGATCTATGGGAAGGAGTATGCAAAGGAACATGACAGCAAGCAACAAAATGAAAGCCACTAGGCATGTTGTGTAATCGATGCTGGAATTTGAGAAAATTATAATTTGAAACAGCTCCCAAATAGTAGCATAATAGAAATGTCTGAAGTATTCTAACAGTCTAGCCTCGATGGCCTTCTTTGTGGTCCACGCACATTGTATTAGATTCTGAAATTGCTCTCGTCACTAACTATTGAAAAAAAGAGAATAAGCACAAAACAAGCAAGCCACTTAACACATCAATTCTCAGAAATACTAACTCCCAGTTTTAAACCGTTTAATGTTATATGAGGTTCGGTAATTAGTACCAAATTGTTGACGTTTCAATGAATGAAATTATAAAATGAAAGAAATTTAGTCATTATGTTTAATTTTGTATAGCACTAAAATGAAAACTGAATCGCATCAAACCGCTTTATAGCAGCTTGAATTAGTGATTAGATGATTTGAATTAATTTTAGCAAGTTGCATAGAGGGCCCTAACAAGGAGCAGTTCATCAATTAACATACCTCATGCTGATAGCAGATGTAATATTATAAGCAATTCCTACTCCATATAAGTTTATTTCCACAAATAGTCCACACAACCAAGAAGCCTTTTTTCCTGAATCATCAAAATCAACTTATTGCACACCAAATAATCAGAAAACAGAGATGTTCTTTAATTTAATTTAAATCACCTCAAAATTGCATTTTGATAATAATTATATTGTAGATAGGGATTAATCCTTATTGTGACAACTTCTAAATCCTTTCTGGCCTTATTTTGGCCTAGGGTGCAACTAACATTCAAATGCCTTTGGACAATTCAATTATGTTATTTCCAAGAAATATCTTACCAGCCTTTCTCATGATGTCATATATAAAAAGAACAAATAAACCATTCTGAGGAAATAAAAAATTGACTTGTCTAGACTCAGTTTACAAATACATTCAGTCAAAATTATTTTTTGTTAAAATAAAAGTATTTTTGACCATTCACTAAAAAAAATTCAATTTGATTAAATCTGATTTCCTATAAACTATATTTCAATTAGTTCCAATAATTAAAGTATATTTCAATTGGTTCCAATACACTCTAATTGTCAATTTTATTTTTAATATATGTTTCCACCACTTTTCTCCTTTAATTCTAAATGTAAGAGTATGAAATAGGAAAAAGCACACAGAATTAATAAGTAGTGCGACAGAGCTAATAGTGTTTCCCATTTATAGAATATACTGACTGGCGCCACGAGTGGCGTCACTCAATAAATTAATCGATTTAAAATAAAAGTGTACACGGATGGTTGGCTTGCGACCAAAAATAAAAAAAGTGTTAAATTTTTAATAATTAAACTCCTTGAGATATCTTTATATGAAATCTTATAATTAAAGGTGTAAGTCACATCTACAGGGGGAAGAGAGATTTAGGTGGAATGTCAATATACAGGAACCGAGTATCAACTCGATGCAAATGTACTAGCCCTGAATTCTTCAGGCACACCTAAATGTGACCTGCGATTATCGATGTACATATAAAATGCTAACTCCTTGTATAAGAATGTATTTGAGAAGCAATTTGTTTATCAAATTTATGTAATGGGAGTAGAGAGTTCTGCGACTCAGCAAATTCATAGCCTATATAACTTGTTGAGCTTTATGAGTTTTTCACGTTATGGAATCGTCTGAAGGGTACATTGAACACGCGGTATAAAATCAATTTAATATTTTTTAGAAAAAAAAAAAAAAGAATAAAGAAATAAAGTTTGAATTTACCACCTATAGCGGCCTTCTAAGCTTGCGAGTGCACAGCAGTGTCAGAGGGAAGGACATATATTCTTGGCACGGACCTAAGTTCAGGATGAGGAGGAGAAGCCGCAAAAAGAATAAAGAAAATAAAGTTTAATTTACACCATACCTAAGCTTGCATCAACAGCAGTAAGGAAAGAGGGATTTCTTGCAGGACCAAGTTCAGGATGAGGAGAGCGATAGCAATTGGAAAGAAGGTACGCATTGATAAGGGTGATAAAAGCAAAACACACCATAGTTAATGGACCTGCGATCCACCCTAACTGAGCCATGCTCCATGCCAATGATAGTACGCCCGACCCTATCACTCCCGTTATTATATGTGCCACTGCCGTCCATACCGTCCCTTCATAAAATTTATTTCTTCATAGTCAATGCGTTATATAATTCTCAAATATATATGGAAACAGGAGAATAATAAAATTTTTGATATCACCGTTAATGAAATTTAAAAAATACCCTATAATAACATTAATTATAACTAATTAGAAATTTACATTTTATTAATTGAATGGATAAAATTTATTAAATTATTTTTTAATAAATATATAAAAATAATTAAGCATAAAAAAAATAAATATCACTTATTAAAATAAATGTTGTGATTTTTATAGATATAAGCACCTAAATATTTCAATTTAATAATCGAAATTAAAACCTAGGTTATTTTAGCAAAAAGTTTCAAAATCTTTTGACTTAGCGAATTAAAAATAAATTAAACCTAGTTTATTTTAATCGATGAAATTTTTTAATAAAAAGATAATAATAAATTTAAAACTAAAATTAAACTTGAAACTTTAAATCCTCAAATTCTCAAATTAACTAAGTCAAATTAATAATAAAGAACAATTATTTCTTTTATTCCATAATATGGGGACAATTATTGGCGGATTGCTTGAAAAATTATATATAATACATGCATTTGCTAGCGGATTGCTTTAAAAATAATTCATATTACAAATTACAACTAAATAAAACTTCAAATAAAAAAAAAATTCAAATCCTTCTTCTAATTTTTCTTCCCGTAGACAAAGAAAGAGTATATGAAAATAATTACTTATTAGATATTAAATAAGTTTTAAATATTAAAATTTCCTGGCAAGTAACTTCATGACAATCAAAAGATTACCGTGATTTCTATAGAATTCTATTCAAAATAAATATTATATGTAAGTTTAAAAGAATGAAAATCTCTTTCCTATTGAAAACTAACAATTCAACTTAATAATCAATACCAATAAATAAATAAATAAATATCTATACTATATATAAATGTAGAAATAAGAGAATGATGAGATTTTTGATATCGCTTTTTATGAAATTTGAAATATCTAAAATAGTCTCGGTTATAGCAAATTAGAAAATTACATTTTATTAATTGATTGAATATAATTTATAAAAATTATTTTATAAATAAATACAAATAGATAATTAAGAATTTTTAATTTTAAGTTTTATCTTTTTTTAAATTTATTTTTTAATAAAAATAGACGATAATGAGATATTTGACAAATTTTTATGTTTTATTTTTAAATATTTAATCATGCGATAATGAGATATTTGACAAATTTTTATGTTTTATTTTTAAAATATTTTGATTTTATTTTTATTGTAATAAAAATGTAGTTTATTTAGATAGGATATAAAATGAATCACAACATATA